TACTCAATACACCTAATTATACTTAAGTATTAAGTATGAAGTATACCTCAGCACTGGGAGGTCATTTATATAGTGAATACACGTGGCGTTGCACACCTCCACGACTGTGAGCGATCATTAGGAGTTTTGTCTCTGAAACACCTCCCAGCGCCCCTCGACCCGCCAGAGACTCATCTCTACAGCTCTCGGTGTTTCGGCGGCGGGCGTCCCGCTGTGCGACGGACATCAGTCAAACACTCGCACACTTTGTTGTGGCGCTACAGAGAAGAAAGATGCCTCTCCACTGCAGTGTGTGGTTGTAAGAGAGAGTTGAGATCAAACAGTGAGTTGAACAGTGACCCGAGGAGGCGTCTTTCATTTCACTGACAGGCATGAACAAAGAGATGCCCTTGTAAGTGTCCGTATGTCTGTGTGAGACCAACAGATAACAAACCCTTTTATTTCTTTAGTGATAACCTTTGTAAAGGGCTGAACTGTTTGTGTGCGGCCGTCTACTGTAAAATAACGGTCCTTCCACACTGTGTCCAATATTGTGTCTGTCCACATTAGATGCAAAGTGACTTTAATTTAATTGAATTTTTTTAACCCTCTTGGGTTGTTCGTTTCAGAGTCACACTCGGGGTGTTCGGGTCCAAATGGACCCAAAGGGCGAGATTCATATTTAAAAAAAAAATATATATATATTTTTTTTTACTCGTTTTTCACAATATTTTTTCTTTTCTTTTTTGGTGTTTTAAGAAAATTTCAAAAATACATTTTTTTTTTTTTATAATTAGTATTAATGCAATAATTATGACAAAATTCCCCCCGATTGAACATAATAGAAAAAATATTTAATTTTTTTTTTTTTTAAAGCTGTATTTCATTTTAGAGTCAAGCCTAGGCCTCATAAAAGATCATTAAAATGCAAAACACATGTATAATCTGAATTTTTTTGGTGTGTTTGTGTATAAAAGTGTGTTTGTTTGTGTGTGTGTGTGTATCTAGATGTGTCTGTTTTGCACTCTTGATGTTTTATAGATTCAACCCTTCATTGTTGTGTGCTTTTTTCAAGATCGTGGCTGATTTGTAGATTGTACGCACAAAACAACTCAGTATTTTCACATTTTTGCCAATTTCCCATTCATTTTCCATGCATGTCCATTTGGACCCGAACACCCCAAGTGTGACTATTTTCTTACAACCACTTAGACTATTCACATCCTGTCCCCAATTTTTTTGGGGTGTTCAAATACCAAATATCAACAAAATCACCAAATTTCGGACCATTCCGAGGAAGCGTCGGGTCCATTTGGGCCGAACAACCCCAGAGGGTTAATTTGTCGTTTCTGAGTTTGGTCTTATTTGACATCTTTGCTGTTTACATTCAGGTCTAGTTGGGTCTAAATCTATCGGGTTTGCCTCGGGTCTGGTGTTCATCTTTTTGAAAATGAATGTATGTATGTCGAGTCCGGGGGAAGAAGTGACTCGGGTCGGGTACAGATTTTAAGACCCCAGAAAACCTCTAGCTCAGATTTCCCGAGATAATTAACGTCTGCAATCAAAGGTCAGAGATCTGCATATGAACTCTCTTTACAATCATTTTGCAATCCACAGTCATGTTATAGCTTCAAAATACACATTACAACAGAAAACTAAAGTTATAATTCCTAAAACCCTTCAGGATTAAAAACCCCCCCTAAAAGCATGCAGCAGAACCCCTGACACATGACATTAAGTATAAACACCGAAGTCTCGAGTCCACCGTGACATTCAAAGTGACGTCGCTCACGTCTCCTGTTCTCCCTGCCCTCTGTAAACTGGATTAAAGCTGCATCTCCTTGTGCTGTTTGTTGAGGTTATTCTTTCCCTTCATGATGTGAAATACTTTATAGCTCAAACTGCTGGATCTCATCAGACCGCACAAAGGCACGGCGCTTTATTATTATTTATGAGGTGGAACATTGTCAAGTGCTTTAGAATGACCTTCATTTAGTTGGAGACCATAAACCTTGACCGTCTTATCAGGAGGAATATTCCCATCACAGCAGCACAACAGATCACAAGAACTCCAGTCATGTCTAGAGATGATGGAGATTCGCCGTGCTGGATTAGATGTTTTGGCTTTGAACTGAAGAGCGGAGCGTAAAGCAGCATGAGGTCTTGTTTCTGCCGGTGTGGGCTCGTACAGTGCTGGTCGAGCTGGAGACGCACATCACGCTGTTCTCCTCCAGCACTCCCGCTGCCCATGCGGGTCCCAGCATGCAAAACACACCGCATTCTGGGGTTTTCAGCAGGCCGGGTAGTGTACATACACATATCTGCATTTTTTATGGACGTGAACCTCACAGCTTGAGCTGATGCATGTTTCATGACTGTTTCTGTGTATTCCATGTATTTATTTAAAGTGCCCCTATTAGACTATTTTAAAGAGTCCTAGTTTTGTTCTGGTCTCCTACGATGCTTCCAAGGCCAACAATGAACATTTCTTATAATACACACTGCATCATCAGTTTTACTCATTCAATTTCAGCAACATTTCTGAAAGCCAACTCTGCTCTGATTGGTCAGATGACTCAGTCTGTTGTGATTGGTCAACACATTCTCATCCTTGGAATGCTATATGACAAAACGGCGCTATACTACGCACATGTCACCCGTTATCGTTAATATAACACGCGCTGTGATGGGTAGGTTTAGGTGTGGGGTAGGGTAGTCTCATATGACGCTAAAGGATTTATGACGCCTTGGGTTTGCGTGTTATATTAACGATAAAGGGTGCCATGTTCGTATAGCGCCGTTTTGTCACATAGCGTTCTATATGACGCTAAAGGATGAGAACGGGCTGGATTGGTCTCCTCTGCTCTGATTGGTCAGATGACCCAGTCTGTTGTGATTGGTCTACTCTGCTCTGATTGGTCAGATGGCCCAGTCTGTTGTGATTGGTCTACTCTGCTCTGATTGGTCAGATGGCCAAGTCTGTTGTGATTGGTCTACTCTGCTCTGATTGGTCAGATGGTCCAGTCTGTTGTGATTGGTCTGCTCTGATTGGTCAGATGACCCAGTCTGTTGTGATTGGTCTACTCTTCCCTGATTGGTCAGATGGCCCAGTCTGTTGTGATTGGTCTGCTCTTCCCTGATTGGTCAGATGGCCCAGTCTGTTGTGATTGGTCTACTCTGCTTTGATTGGTCAGATGGCCAAGTCTGTTGTGATTGGTCTACTCTGCTCTGATTGGTCAGATGGCCAAGTCTGTTGTGATTGGTCTACTCTGCTCTGATTGGTCAGATGGTCCAGTCTGTTGTGATTGGTCTGCTCTGATTGGTCAGATGACCCAGTCTGTTGTGATTGGTCTACTCTTCCCTGATTGGTCAGATGGCCCAGTCTGTTGTGATTGGTCTGCTCTGATTGGTCAGATGACCCAGTCTGTTGTGGTTGGTCTACTCTGCTCTGATTGGTCAGATGGCCAAGTCTGTTATGATTGGTCTACTCTGCTCTGATTGGTCAGATGGCCCAGTCTGTTGTGATTGGTCTACTCTGCTCTGATTGGTCAGATGGCCCAGTCTGTTGTGATTGGTCTACTCTGCTCTGATTGGTCAGATGGCCCAGTCTGTTGTGATTGGTCTACTCTGCTCTGATTGGTCAGATGGCCCAGTCTGTTGTGATTGGTCTACTCTGCTCTGATTGGTCAGATGGCCCAGTCTGTTGTGATTGGTCTACTCTGCTCTGATTGGTCAGATGGCCCAGTCTGTTATGATTGGTCTACTCTGCTCTGATTGGTCAGATGGCCCAGTCTGTTGTGATTGGTCTACTCTGCTCTGATTGGTCAGATGGCCAAGTCTGCTATAATTGGTCTACTCTGCTCTGATTGGTCAGATGGCCCAGTCTGTTGTGATTGGTCTACTCTGCTCTGATTGGTCAGATGGTCCAGTTTGTTGTGATTGGACCACTTACCAAACACCCATAAGCATATCTCAATTCCAGCTCTGGATGTTCCTCAGTGTTGATTTGCTTTGACAGCAAAAAACATCATCTTCTCCACAATTCGACAACGCAAACCAAACTAATGTATGCCTCAGCTCTAACTGCAGCGTTTGAGAGGAGAGCAAATGAGACACTATTCACAGCCAGCCAATGAAGATGAGACGCAGGCGTTAGAGCTGCTACTAATGATAATGACTGTTTGTGAAGCTGTTACTTATACATGACAAATGCTCTCTTTTTGCCAAAGCGTTTGATCATACTCGTCAAAGGTTTATTAAACACAAGCCGATGGTTGTTATTGAGATCACGTGAGCGTTTGAATCGAGATTGCGATATCACCGATTAATCATGCAGCTCTATATAGCAGGCATTATGCAAATTTGTTACAAACCTGACTGGTTTCACTTCTATAAAACTTTGCAGACCATTTACATTCACAAACAGCTCTATTACACACCAAAAGAAAAGGAATCTATGAAAAAGCATAACTGGGGCACTTTAGGAATAAATATCAACGTGTAAAATTGAATCTTAACAATATTTTAACGTATATGCTGTTTAATTTTTTAATTTTCCCATACATTTACGTAAATTACATATGCTGTCGATAAAGCTTAAAGGGTTAGTTCACCCAAAAATGAAAATTAAGTCATTAATTACTCACCCCCATGCTGTACCAACCCCGTAAGACCTTCGTTCGTCTTCGGAGCACAAATGAAGATATTTAAGATTAAATTTGAGAGCTGTATAACTACCACATTGGCTGCCTAAGGGACTGGCTCTTGACGGCCCAGAAAGTCAATGAAGAAAATGTTTAAATATTCCATGTGACTACAGCGGCTCAACTATAAGTTTATCAAGCGACGAGAATACTTTTTGTGCGAAAAAACAAACAAAAATAACGACTTTATTCGACTATTCCTTTTCTTCCTTGTTGGCCTGAAACGAGACTTCCTTAGATTTCCACGACGCATGCGCGAGAATTGCGATCTCCTTCAACTACTTCAGTTCAAGTTCAGTTCAAGATCGTGCCGCTCACCTCTGAAGAAGCAGTCTTTGCTGTGGACCACATAGATCCTCCTGCGCTGCAGGCACGCGGTGCGGTACAGCTCGCAGTGGTTCTCGTAAAAACGTCCATCGGAGCCACACACGGGAACAAACGAAGTGTGGCACCTTTCCTGACACACACACTCGACCCGGCCCGTCACATTCCTGACCACACACTCCCGACCCCGGCCACAGTACGTCCTCCGGCACGGACCCTCATCTGGAGAAAGAGAACGCTCAAGGTTAAAATCAGCATTGTTTTGTGTACAAGTCATCAGCATTTCTTTTCTGACACCTTTCATACACAGACAATAGACCTATTAGCACGGGATTAGTATTATCTGGTGACCTGTAGTAATTTGTAATAATTGCGGAGTTTGTCTGAGATCTTAATCCCGTGCGAATCGGCCATGTCTGTAATTTGTAAAGTAAAAATTCCCCCACAAATGACCAACTATATTTCGCCGAACACCGAGGTCCTGTGATGATATTAGTCCCGTGCGAATCGACATCTCTGTGATCTGGCTGTTTCATGTGCGCCTTTTTATTCATCTTTTGCGAAAAAAGGAGGCTATGTTGGAGTGTTTTGATAGTATTTTTGGTGCTGGGTCATATCGCTATACTATGGAAGCTTGTTTCCGCCACTGAATAAAAAAATATAATAAATAATTGTGACTTTTTTTCTCACAATTGCGAGTTTATATCTCACAATTCTGACTTTATTTCTCAGAATTGCCTGATATAAAGTCACAATTGCGAGTTGTAAAGTCAGAATTGTGTGTTATAAAGTCAGAATTGCGAGATATAAAGTCAGAATTGCGTGATATAAAGTCGCAATTCTGAGAAAAAAAGACAGAAGTGTGACTTTTTTTCCTCACAATTGCGAGTTTACATCTCGCAATTCTGACTTTATAACACATAATTGCGAGTTTATATGTCGAAATTCTGACATCTTTTCTCAGAATTGTGAGATATAAACTCGCAATTGCGACTTATTAGGCCAATTCTAAGAATAGTTTAAATCTCACAATTCTGACTTTATAACACGCAATTGCGACTTTATATCTCGCAATTCTGACTTTATATCATGCAATTCTGACTTTATAACTAACAATTCTGACTTTATATCTCACAATTCTGACTTTATATCTCACAATTCCTACTTTATATCTCACAATTCTGACTTTATATCTCACAGTTCTGACTTTATAACTCTCAATTCTGACTTTATATCTCACAATTCTGACTTTATATCTCGCAATTCTGACTTTATATCACACAATTCTGACTTTATATCTCACAATTCTGACTTTATAACTCTCAATTCTGACTTTATATCTCACAATTCTGACTTTATATCTCACAATTCTGACTTTATATCTCGCAATTCTGACTTTATAACTCTCAATTCTGACTTTATATCTCACAATTCTGACTTTATATCTCACAATTCTGACTTTATAACTCTCAATTCTGACTTTATATCTCACAATTCTGACTTTATATCTCACAATTCTGACTTTATATCTCACAATTCTGACTTTATATCTCGCAATTCTGACTTTATAACTCTCAATTCTGACTTTATATCTCACAATTCTGACTTTATAACTCTCAATTCTGACTTTATATCTCACAATTCTGACTTTATATCTCACAATTCTGACTTTATATCTCGCAATTCTGACTTTATAACTCTCAATTCTGACTTTATATCTCACAATTCTGACTTTATATCTCACAATTCTGACTTTATAACTCTCAATTCTGACTTTATATCTCACAATTCTGACTTTATATCTCACAATTCTGACTTTATATCTCGCAATTCTGACTTTATAACTCAATTCTGACTTTATATCTCACAATTCTGACTTTATAACTCTCAATTCTGACTTTATAACTAACAATTCTGACTTTATATCTCACAATTCTGACTTTATAACTCTCAATTTTGACTTTATATCTCACAATTCTGATTTTATATCTCGCAATTTTGACTTTATATCTCGCAATTCTGACTTTATAACTGGCAATTCTGACTTCATATCTCGCAATTCTGACTTTATATCTCACAATTCTGACTTTATATCTCGCAATTCTGACTTTATAACTCACAATTCTGACTTTATAACTCGCAATTCTGACTTTATATCACACAATTCTGACTTTATATCACACAATTCTGACTTTATATCACGCAATTCGGACTTTTTATCTCGCAATTCTGACTTTATATCTCGCAATTCTGACTTTATAACTCGCAATTGCGACTTTATATCACGCAATTCTGACTTTATATCTCACAATTCTGACTTTATAACTCGCAATTCTGACTTCATATCTCGCAATTCTGACTTTATATCTCGCAATTCTGACTTTATAACTCACAATTGTGAGTTGTGATTGTGAGATAAAGAATTGTGAAATAAAAAGTCGCAATTATTTACTTAATTTTTTTATTCAGTGGCGGAAACAAGCTTCCATACTATACACAGCTACACAATTTGCAGAAAATAAAAGCTGAAAATCACCAGAAGAGCAAAATCAAAAAGATTGATTAGATGGAGATGAATGAATGTATAGCAGCATTTGGTAAAGCTAGACCTATAATGAAAAGACATTTCTAGTCTATTGACAATCATATCCGGAAGATAAGTCAGTGAATTCGAGAAAAATCACAGATGTGGCGGGATAATTTAGAAATCACACGAGGTCCCCAGATAATACTAATCCTGTGCGAATAGGGCTAATGTCCACCATTTTTTTCCGAATATCCTGTTTTGATCTCACATTATGAGAGTAAAATGAGTTTATATATGCTCTACTATGATTGCAGTAAAACAACGACGGAAAAACATTGTTTGTAAAGCATTTTGGACACACTGCGGTCCACACTATCCCAGAGAATATGTTAAAGTTTCTCCAGCCAAGTCTGAAAGCCCACTCCCCGTGGATTCTCTGAGTTGGCGCTGGGAAAGCTGCTGAAGTCTGGTTCACTTTTTCCAGAGCCGCAGGAACGCAGTCGGGGAACTCCTGCTGGGGTCACGCGCCCGAATCTCAGCCTGTGCATCTTCCATGCCAGCTTTAGTACTTTCTTCGGGCGACAGCTGGTAGGTAGGAAATGATTCCCAATTAATTCTGGACCACTGACTGAGACCACTGGAGTGGCATCAAACCCGGATCGCCACCGGCCGCTCTGTTCACCGCATGCAGTAAAAGCTGGCCGTGTAAACTAAACTGTGTACAGATGAGGACTTCAGTGTAGACCGCAGCATATCTCAATTATCATGGATTGTGTCATACACTTTTCAGGCAAAAATCACTATACTGCGTTTAGGGTCGGGCATCGAGAACACTTTCCATTTTAGATCCGGTTCCAAATTTCCGAGATTTTCAACAGATAAGATAACACAAAAATGCACAAATACACACTCCTCTTTCACTTCAATGGACACATACACAGAAAATTATGATGAAATATCCTAACACAATCAATTTGGGCTTAAACAGTTGAGAAAGAAAACGCATATTGCACCCGTGCATTCGCTCTTAAAGTGACAGCAGCCTAATAAACCTGCGTCAGTCCGTTTTTAATGTTAATCAAACAAAAGACAAAGAGAAAATCACTCTTGACTTAATCATTTTTGTAACTTTGATAAGGATTCATCTATATTTTATTTATACAAAGAAAACTATGAAGTGTTATTTTAAAATTCTTTGTTCATTTGTATTTATTTGTGCTACAAGTTATATACTTGTTCTTATTTAATTATTGACTGTTTACTTGTCTTTAATAATGTTTGAAATTTAAATTAGATGTTTTTATTAAAACCACTGGCAAAAGTTCATTTAGGCGGCTCTTTTTTTGTAAACGATACCCAACCTTAGCGTGGTCTGTCTGAATACTCGATTGTGATTGTCTGGAAGGTGTGCATTAAACTCGTTACACACAATTTATAGGCAGAACGCCACATGCTCTCTAATCAAATCAAAATGTTACGTTTTTTAGCTTTTAGTATGAATATGTTAGCCTTAAAGGATTAGTTCACTTTTGAAAAAACTTTTGCTGATAATTTACTCGCCCCCATGTCATCCAAGATGTCCATGTCTTTCTTTCCTCAGTCGAAAAGAAATTTAGGTTTTTGATGAAAACATTCCAGGATTTTTCTCCATATAATGGACTTCAATGGGAACCAAACGGTCCAAGGTTGAAAAGACAGTTAATAACAGTTTCAGATGCAGCTTCAAATGTCTTTAAACGACACCAGACGATGAATAAGGGTCTTATCATGCGAAACGATCGCTTATTTCAAAGCTTATTCCAAAAATGTAACTTTTCTAAGGACAAATGCTAGCCTTGCTATATTCTCTGAGGCGCGTTTGTAACGTCACGTATTACGTAATTACGTTCAAAAGGTCACGGGTGACTTAGCCGGAAGTACAGAATCAAAATCGTCCGACATCGTTGTTTTACCTTTTAATTCCTTTTTTGTAAACGGCGTTTGAGTTAGTTTGCACGTTCAACCTATGCGTTCAACTTGTAAACACTGTCTCTGTACTTCCGGCTACGTCGCCCGTGACCTTTTGAACGTAATTACGTATTACGTGACGTTACAAACGCGCCTCACTGAATAGAGCAAGGCTTGCATTTGTCCTTAGAAAAGTTACATTTTTGGAATAAGTTTTGAAATAACCGATCGTTTCGCATGATAAGACCCTTATTCATCGTCTGGTGTCGTTTAAAGACATTTGAAGCTGCATCTGAAACTGTTATTAACACTATCTTTTGGACCTGAACCATCCGGTTCCCATTGAAGTCCATTATATGGAGAAAAATCCTGGAATGTTTTCATCAAAAACCAAAATTTCTTTTCGACTGAGGAAAGAAAGACATGGACATCTTGGATGACATGGGGGCGAGTAAATTATCAGCAAAAGTTTTTTCAAAAGTGAACTAATCCTTTAAAGTTATGAATAAACTGGTGTGTTGCAAAATAATGACAACATTCATATTCAGGAGACATAAGCGTTCACAACTAACATCTCTCACATCTCCACAGACTTCAGCTTCGAATCACATCCGTCCAATCTGAAGCTCCGCCCCCTATGCTATAAACATCACCTGGCCAAATGTTGATGCCAAAACGCTAAATGCTATTGGCTATTTGAAAAGGGGGAGGAGCCAATCAATATGTCCCGCCTGAGCTTCCTGTTTCA